GCTGCCTAAGAGCAAAAATAAGTACAGCTATGTCATAATGTCATCTGACAAAATGGCTGTCAGTTTACTATGTTAAATTAAATCAACCTAAACACATGAAAATGTTAATTATGACTTTAAAGAAATAATTAAGTTCCTTTTAAATGCTAGGCATTGGGGTTTTTTTATATGCATTTGATTTTGTAGGAGTTTTTTTTAATACACTATAAATATAATTTTAAGAAGAATCAAGACAATGCATCTATAAAGCCTCTTTAAATAATCCATTCAGTATAATCCATGGTAGCAAACATCCTGGGTAACAGGCCTAGTGATGAAGAGCACAGGTTTGGGTATCAGACCTTGTTTCTATTATTCTTGCATCCCTTAGTGTTGTATGGCCTTGAGTGTGTTAATTAAGCTCTCTGAGCCTCAGTTCCAAAATCATAAAATGGAGTTAACATACTTCCTCAAAAAGGAGTAAAAAAAAAAAAAATTTTTTTTAAACAGTACCATAGAGCACCTAAATGGAATCTTTCAAAAGGCAAAATAAAGCTGAAAGTTAGTCTTGAGTTTCCTAAAAATGTTAAATAGCAGCCTCCATTCCATTTATGGCTTCATCTCCTTCTCAGCTGGTGATACCGACTTAATCAATGGTTCTCAGATCTGGCTGCATATGAGAATCACCTAGCAGCATTTTAAAATTCTCCATGCCCTTGTCCCCTACCAGGCCAATTAAAACTAGAATACGTAGGAGTGTGAGAGCATGGGTATTTGTTTTAAAAGATACTCAGGTGATTATGTTAAAACCTCAGCTAAGGCATTCAACTTCTAAGTAGCCAGTAAATGTTAGCTAACAAGAACTCAGTTTATACAATCAGTACAACTTTAGAACCAATAATGTATCCAAATAAAAGCTTAAGAAAGCAGCTGCTAAATCATTTCTTAATTTTTACTATGCCTTCAATTAACTCCATAATTACAATTCTGCAAAATTATAAAGAAATAGGCTTTTATACCTGAACCATGCCTGATAATTTGTTTCAGAATCAAAACACTAAGGTGCCTCAAAGCAAGGTCAACTACACTTTTGACATTTAAATTTCAAAGAGTTAAAAATATACATCTCGGGACTTCCCTGATGGCTCAGTGGTTAAGAATCCACCTGCCAATGCAGGGGACACGTTTGATCCCTGGTCGGGAAGACCCCACATGCCCCGGAGCAACTAAGCCCATGTGCCACAACTACTGAAGCCCGCACGCCCTAGATCCCATGCTCTGCAACGAGAAGCCACCGCAATGAGAAGCCCGTGCACCTCAATGAATAGGAGCCCCATTTCGCCGCAACTAGAGAAAGCCTGCGCGAAGCAACGAAGACCCAACGCGGCCAAAAAAAAAAAAATTCTACCATTAAAAAAATATATGTGTGCGTGTGTTTTGGCAAGTAAAAACACCAGCACTAGTAGTTCTAAAGATAATGTACTCAGCTGAAATTCATATTGTGGTCTGGAAAAGATTAAAAGCAATTAGTGCAATGAACTCGGCAACTAACATCCTGGGTTTTCCTTCAGGTTTTGCCACTAATTTGCTCTGGGCCTTCTGTAAAAATCACTGTGTCTGTGCTTCAGATTCTCATTTGTAAAATAAGGAGTTGCACTAAATTTCTTTAAAATGACATGTTACAAGGATGTAAAACTTGGAAAATTACATACAGACGGGTTCTTTAGCGCAGTAATATCCAAGGATAAGGTCTAAAGTAGGCCTCATAGGCTATTAATGAGTCATGATTTAATTAGTTTTATAGTAAAGAATTTACTTTCCAAACCTAACATTTTATTATAACATATTGATTGGGACTGCTCCCTGCCACCTCCCAAAACCTTATATCTAGGATAATTCTTGTTTCCCACAATTAAAACCTTTTTAATGTTCTGGGGTTTTGAGAAAAAGAACAACAGTAATGTTGAATAATGAATATTCAACAAATATAATAGGCACTTGGGATATGCCAAAGGGACAAGACAGACAAGTGAAAGAAGACAAAGTAGAGAAGTAATTTTTTATGTTTATACCTTTCAGATATTGTTAACGTCTCTGAATAATGCAAAGTAAAATGATACGGGGGGGTTATTTCAGATAAGATGTTGAAGCATTTTTCCACGTCTCTCCTTAAATTTGGAGAGGGAAGAGCAAATTTCTAAAAAGTATTTTCCTCATATTTGAGAAATTAGATAAAGCAGTTTTGTACATTCTTTTGAAGCAAAGAATTTCGGTTTAACCTTTAAATCCTCAAAAGTAAAATCCAAAGCGTCTTACTATAGTTGTGCTTATCACTAGAAAGCTCTTTCCGTTTCCTTCATGTCAGAGCCATCTGTTCTCACCTATTTTACTCACAAGTATTATATGATTTCTAAACACTCAAGTGTATTCGTGTATTTTGTGTATGTGCATATGCTGGGTTCTTTTTCTTTTCTTTTCAAATAGTACCTAATCTAATCCATTTTTAAATCCACCAGTCTAATACTATCTTATTTGGGGGTACCTGAGTACATTTCAGTATTCCTGCAGCTCCATTTAGAGGTCCATGCTTTTATAATTAATATCTTCCTGCCAATGTATTTCTTTCCTCATACATCCTAATGTGATAATATATGAAAGAATATATGATAATATCTAAGTAATGAAAAAACTGGGGAAAGAATAGAAACGGAAGTCAACAGAAATATGGCTATTTGCAGAGGGGAGAAGATAACTAACTGGAACAAAATGAAAGAATTAATTCATACACTACGTGTTTCCTCTACGTAAGCATTATACTAAATATCTTTTATATTAGTCATGTTGCTTTGAGACTTTTCCATGTTTCCTCTAGACATCTGCCAATGTTCGCATGGTCTCTGATGAATAAACATGCTGTGACTTGCTTCTAAGGAAACGTGTGTCATGTTCCAGGGAAAAATGACTTCTCTACTCTCAAATCAGGAAGACTGTACAAATCTCATTCATTAGCTACAAAGTCGGTTTTTCCTTAACGTTTCTTTTCTGAAATGTTCATATTCTCTTGAGTGCATTTCTGTGCTTGGATTAACTATCAGAAAAGAAACTGAGTTGGGGGAACACTTGTAGGAAAAAGTTACACTTCACCAAAGGGTTTTCCCACTTCAGGAGCTCAACTAGCGCCCATGTTAAGCCTTCACTGTTTACCAAGACGAAGGTTATTTTCAGGTTCTTCCCATCTCTTGCAGAACTACCTGTTCTCATTACTATTTACCCAAACGCTTAGCAAGGTGATTATTAGCATATCTGGCAGGAAGACGTGCTCCATTTAATATTAACTCACCATGTGACAGCCCCTTCCACTCCAATCTCACCGAAACATGTGAGGATACGAAGAAAGTAATCGTGTGTTGGCGGTCTGACCCTGCACTAGGCTTTGGCACTAGCAATTGGCCACAGACAATCAGAGGCGCGCACCCGGCCGTGTCCCGGAACTGTCATGCGGGCTGACAGCTGGCACACGTTCCTGTCGCCCTCCACCCTCTCGCAGAAAGCCCCTTCCTTACATTCACCTTGACACTCCACCTGCTGGGCCTCATCCACCGGCCAAGAAAACTGTTTTCCCCTTCCCAGGAGCTCACTAACAGGTATCGTCCCGCCGCTCGCCCAGAGCCCCAACAAGGGGCCCTTTGTTACCATTTTTGCTCCCGGACTCCTTACCCAATTCCTGGCATTCAGCTGCCCTTGAGCAACTCAGAGCAGCCCCGGTAGGAAAGCAATCAAAAACTACCCGAGCCCCCATCCCGGGCGGCCTCCTAGGAGGCCGGGAGGAAGCAGCCTCGTCGTCCGCGTGTTCTGCAGAGGGTGAATCTGGCCGCCGGCGGGGTGGCGACCTGCCAGCCAGGTGACCGGGTGGAGGCCCGGCTGCCCTCGCCCTCGCCCTCCCCAGTGAGCGTCGGTGGAGTGGCGCTCGAGGCTTACCCTGCGGGGGTCGCTGGCGGGAGCGCCGCCGGGACGTCCTGCGCGCGCTGGGCTCGGCCGTCCATCGCCCTGCGGGGCGCTGCGCGGGCTCCGGCTCCTAGGCGGCGCGTCACTGCTGGAGTGGGAGAGGCCGGCGGGTCAGGGCGGGACGCACGCTTTCCCGAGGCCTGAACGGGGCTGGCCGCGCGTCAAGAGCCCGCCCGAGCCGCCCCTAGCCCTGGACCAACCCGCCCGCCTCCCGGGTGCGCTTCCACCTGCGGGCCCGGCTCCCAGCCCGCGGGCAGCGCCGCCGGAGGGTCTACCGGCTGCCGGCAGCCGCGGCGGCTGGAGGCGGCGCTGCAGCCCCCGCCCCGTGGGGTTACTGGGTAGCCATTTGGCGCCTCTTGGGGAGGGAGCGGAGCTACCCAGGCTGGAAGGAGGAGGAGCGGGGCGAGGGGCGAGGCGCACAGGCACAGCCGCCAAGGCGGCAGCGCGATCCCGAGCTTCTCAAACAAAACGCCCTGGGAAAACTTTTCGCAAAGAAAAGTTGGGAGGGCTCCTTTCTCTTTTCCCACCCAGGGCTCCTACTTTCTTTTCAAAAGGAAACAGTGGCTGCCTGTTCTCTCCCGCGGCTTCCTCTCCCACTCTTCCCTCCCCCGGCCCGCGCGCTCGCATTCGGCTCTCAAGCCGGGACTGAGAGGAAGGGGAAAGCGGCAGCCTCTCCGCGAGCTCAGCCCAGCGCCTACCCTACCCCGCGGGCGGGTGCCGGGCGCGATGGAGCCTCTCCCCGGGCTGGCTGACTCACCCTGCCCCATTTCCCTCCCCGGAGCCCGGGAGCTCGCAGCTGTCTCCGCCGGACCTCCACCCAGAAGTGGCGACGGGGCTCGGCGGCATCGGAGCGAGACAGGCAGCGAGCCGGAGAGAGAAACGGGGCGGGGGTGGGCGAGTGGTAATTTCCTTCCCCCGGGGCTTCGGGGCTTTGGGGTCTAGCTGGGGAAGCCGAACGGAAAGGAGGCTCCCGCGCAGCGTGTTCCCATTCCCACCGCTAGGGCGTCGCTTCGGGAAGCCCGGCGCTCCCCAGCCGTACAGGTGGGGAGGAAGGGAGGGTACCTGCCCTGCGAGGAGCGGAGAGGAGGACCCGGGCTCCGCGGAAGTGCCGGGAGAAACTGGCGGAACAGGGCCTGCAGCTTGCCCTCCCTGCAGTCTGACTTTCCCCGTCCAGGGTGCTTCCCCTCCCCCAACCTGACCTCTAAGGTTGCTATTCTGCTAAAAGCACACCTGTGACACTGTGATCTTTCTAATTGGTGGCAGGTTTAAGGTTGCCCTGTCTTCAGACGTATATGTCTTTCTTTCTTTCTTTGTTTTAAGCCTGTAACAGCTGTGACCGGACAATATTATGTCTGATGACAATCTGTAAACTAGGAATCGAATGATAGGTTTTATACACCTCTTGAAAGTTTTACGGGAAGAAAGGAATCCCTTAGACAACCGTGTACTTGTTTATACATTTTAGTTCCCACGTGCATGCTCTTTACGTGATTCTTTACACCTGACAAACAGGTATATTTGCATACCTTTATGTTATTATACGTGCCAATTGTTGTAAGGTGCAAGCCATTTTTGACGGGTCTAAAAGCTTGCGTTCAGAAAAAATAACGTGAAATTAATTAAGAAATTAACTTTACGGTTTAAAAATTAAAATATTTCAATAAACTGTAGTAGAGAGGTTAAGTGAAAGAGCGTCCTAAAAGAGGCTCTACTGTGGTATTAGCATCATGTAACACATCTGTGTTAGCCCCTTCAACCAGTTGATAGAATAATATTTGGTAGGTGGTAAAAATTAAATTGTTACTTAGGACCAATGCTTGACTAAATGCTCTTTAAGGTATATATCCATTGTAACAACCAAAAAGATTGCTGAAACGAAGTAACATACTAAATACTTAGTAATATGCCGTTTGTCTCTTATGGACAGACATCAGTATTTATTCCTTCCTGTGCATAATATATGCCTTTCAGTGTATCTCTACATATGAAAAGAAAAAACAAGTAGCTTATTTGGATTACAATATCAGAACCATATATGAAAAAGTTGCTTTTTAATATTTTACTTAATATTAATCAAATCAGTTCATTTAAATCCATCTGGATTTTAGTCTAAACACAGTTTAAACAATTTCATGAATCAGTTATGCCTCTGAATGACTAGCTTTTACAGTTGCTCACACAGACAATAATGTAAACATTGAGTAATAGTGAAACTACTTAAAGTCTGTAGCTTTCAATCACCAGATGAAGATTAAACTTTAGTTTCAGCCTTAATTTATGGCATGCTAGTAATTTTATTAACTCCATTAGTCTAATCTGACCATAAAACCCTAGCATAACATTTCATAACTGCTGAAGGCTTTTGGAGTGTTTACCCATTTTTTTCTGTCCTCTTTCTGGTTTTAGATGTAGGGGAGGATTATACTCTCCACCCCACTGAAATTAGGTATCATGATGTAAATTTGCTTTAGTAAGTAAATGTGAGCAGACATGAAATGTTTCATTTCCTGGTAGAATCACTTAAGGGCCAGTGCTGGATTTTCTATGCTCTCTTCCCTTGCTGCTGCAATCATGGAAGTTTATATTAAGATGGAGGTGGCACAGGACTGAAGGATCCTGGCATGCTGTACAATCCTGAGCACAGCTGTCCTGGAGAGCCCAGAACCTACAACAGAATCTGCATAAAGCAAGAAATAAACTTGTGTTGGGGTAAGCTTCTAAAATATTGCAGTGATTTGTTGTCCAGCATTACTTAGCCTACCTTAGATATAATTATATTTGACAACTTTCAGAATCCCTAATAGGCTAGGCTTGATGTTCTCATACGGAAGACACTAAACTATCCCCCCTGTAGTCTGCTGGTTACATAGTTCATTAGCAAAGTTAATGTAATCAAAGTTGCTATAAATCTTTGTACGTGATAGTGGAAAACTATCCCCCCCCCCCGACATCCGTCCTTCCCTCTCCTTGTGATGACCTATTGCAAAATTGTCCAAGTTTCCAAGATGCTGCTCAATTTCTCTCTATTCGGAAATCTCCCTTGCCCACTCCATCAAATCATTTTTAATTCATGTGCTTAAGTGTTATATCCTCTGGAAGACTTTCTGGACTGCACATGGAGAATTAGCCCTTCCCTTTCTTAGCCCCCTTTAGATTCTGCCAGGTGGGACCAGGCCCCATGACACTTTGTTTCAGTTACTCATTTACACAAGCAAAGAGTTGGAGTGCTTAAGGGGCCACATTTTATCCTTTGTGTCCTGCAAGGACAGCGCAGAATACAGGAAGCTCTCCGCATATATATGTGGAATGAATTACGGAGTAAGGGAATCCTTAAGGACTCCACTCCTAGGGTACTTGTAAGAGGTGAGTGGGACCTCAAGTCGCAGAAAGATTTTTCAATTCAGAGGGACCAGTAGACCATTGTAAACAGAACAGATAAAAGTTGAGTTTGTTCTAGTAGGGAGAGAAGACTTATTTTCCACAAGGTAACCTGATGGAGTTAGTTTCAAAATCACTACTGTCTATAAAGTAAAAATATAAATTACACTTTTCATGGCTCTATGTTTGGATTTATAATTGTATTATCAAGTTATACCTTTTATTTTTATAATCAAACATTCTAGAGATTAAAAGTACACAAATAGTGCTTTCTGGTCAATTTCAATGAGCTTTAAACTCATCAGATTTTATACTTTGAAACTTGGACAATCATTGAACTTTTTTTCATAACAGACTTTTCAAGTAGATTATATATTTATGAATTAAATTTTATTTCAATAAAGGGAATATTTATTGAATGTCTGCAATACGAAGCATTGTGCTAGGGAAACAAAAGATGGCAAAGATATTGCCTCTGCCCTGGAGGGGCTCACAGACCACTGGGATCATCTGTAATATTTTTGTGGCACTCAACCAAATGAAGGTTAAAGGAAACTGGTCAATAACCTGTAGGAGTCTCTACTTCTCTCCCAAAGGATAAAGTTAAATGTATTTTCAGTCCTACTTATCAAAAGAAGAAATGCCTGAGTTTAATATGCTATGTCTCTTATAAATGGCACTATATTTCTATATCATCATATACATTTCTAGGCAAAGACTCTCTTATTAACATGCATACTTTCCAGGATAAAGGTAAGGCCTGGAGAAACATGCACAGGCATGCAGATGTGTAAAATATTTAGTACAATGGGCATGCAGGAGGGCCAAGTTTTCAGTGCCCATCCAAGTTCTAAGCTGCAGATTCAGATATGTCAGCACCAAGTTGTCTAAAACCCACTTTCTCCTTCCCTCTTTTTTTTTTTTTTTTTGCGGTACGCGGGCCTCTCATTGTTGTGGCCTCTCCCGTTGCAGAGCACAGGCTCCGGACGTGCAGGCTAAGCGGCCATGGCTCACGGGCCCAGCCACTCCGCGGCATGTGGGATCTTCCCAGACCGGGGCACGAACCCGTGTCCCCTGCATCGGCAGGCGGGCTCTCAACCACTGCGCCACCAGGGAAGCCCTCCTTCCCTCTTTAAGATGTCCTTTTGTCAAAGTGAATTTCTATTACTAGATTATGTAATCTGTTACTGGTTGGCAGTAAATTTCTTACTCATTGGAAGAGGATAAGCCCTTTTATGTCATTAAAGTATCAGTGCCGTTAAAAATACCCTTGTGATTTAAAATTTAAACACCATTCAAATAATGGATATTTCCTCTCTTTAAAAAAAGGGCTAAGGAGGAAAAATCAATTCAAATATGTATCTATTTGACATAATACAATTAACAAACTCTTGGTGTTTAGCATTTTAATATTGTCTATTAAATTATAACTGTAACTGGGAACTACGGCTCTCCTTTTATAAGTCTTGAGCTTGGTAAACTCTTAATTGCTTGTCAGTTTCCATGTATCAAAATGTACAATTTTGAGCCAGGCAGCCACTGACTCTGGCTTTCCAGGCATAAAATCTAACAAGTCTCAGCACATTTCCTTCTGGCAAGGCTTGCCACCCCCTCGCCTGCCTTTTCTCTTGGGAGGCTGAGCATGTGTGTGATTAACTAAGTACCACAGTGGTTAAGAGCTCAGCCTCTGGAGCCAGGCAGATTTGAGTTCACATCCCTGGCTTGGCTACTTAGTATCTGGGTGACATGAGGAGAGTTACTGTTCCTGGTAAAGAAAAAAACACCAGTGCAGATAAAATCAGTGTCCAGGGAGGGTAATGGAGATCCTTTTCTTAAGAATGTTACAAATGGGAGCCACCTGTGTCTTGGTTAAGGCTCCGTTTATGAAGCAGAATTCTTCCTGCTCCAAGCTGAGAGTTCTGGCTTTTTGTGCTTTTGATGATCTTGATCACGTGACTCAACTAGGGCATCTTCAATTTCCTTATCACTATAACGAGTCTATAAATATTCCATGGTCTTTGAGCTCTTTTTGTCTTTATGCTGAGTAATCAAGCTCACTGTGTCAAAAACTATTGAATTTTTATATGTGGATGATTAATAACAAGACTTCGCATTGTAACACCTGAAAAACGCTTTCCTTTACTGACTCTACCTTGAGCCTTTCAGGAGCTTGCAGAGTCAGTCCTATCCCTACTTTACAGTTCTGAGAACTGAAGCAAGTGACTTGCCCGAAGCTGCAATACTAGTGAAGTAGCAAAACTAGGATCAAAAATTACTTCTTCTGGTTTCTATTTTTAAATTTTTTAGTGACACTACAGCTACCTTGCTGCAAGGATAGCACTTAAAAAAAAATGTTATACCACAGCAAATTAATGTTATTATGTAAACAACATGTTGAACATCTTTTCCCATCTCTGAACTCTAGGTCAGCTTTGAAGGTACTGGCTACCTAAACCTGCCTTGTCCCAAAGGACCCATTTTAGTCTGGGGAGACTTTGAGATTGTGGATGTTTCCAGTTTCATCCAAGGAACATGAAGGTCTGGGACCAAAACACAAAAATTCAAGGATGATCAGAAATTCAGATGCATTCTGGAGTGAGCTACGCTTGACCAAACAAAGAACAAAGTTGCTATAAAATCTAGTTATTAATAATCCATGTTCTCCTGTCGGATCACAGAACCACTCAAGACACTCTGAAAACTGTACAAAACGGGAGTAAGTTGAAATAGATCCCTCCGTGTTCTTATCAAAAGCCATCCTGTGAAAGATTTTCAGCTAAATTAATTATACTATGTATTTTCCTCCACTTACAAGAAAAAAAAATCTATCTGGGAACATGAAAGGCAGCCAGACAAGGAAAATAAATCACAAAATGTATATTTAGGATACTGATATTATGATAGAAAACACTCACTACCAAAGTCCATCTCGTGTATAGAGATTATCACACATATCAGGTATGTTTTTTTAAATTTCTTTGAACATTAATTATTGGCTATTTTAGCTATTTCACCCTGGTGACTGAAATAGAAGTGGAAAGATGATACGAAAGCAGAAAAGGATGGAGTTATAAACTGTATGTATGTGAGTGTGTCAACTTTGAGTCTTTTTTTTAAGCTTATTTAGTAAATGGAAAAAATACCTATTTCATTAACAGACTTAGCAGAATGTCTAGCATATAGAGGGCACGCAGAAGCAGCTCTAGCCGTACTACTCTAAGTCTGCAATTTAAAAAGGTACTAGAAGGAGCTTTGCAAATCACTGTTGACTGAAATAAAAAATTTTCTCCTGGGCTTATAGTATTATCAGACATCACAAGACAAGTAGGTAGAAGATAAGACTACTTGAATAAAGTGATTTTCTTATTTGGTATGTTTTTATATGATGACATATTTACAGGGATAATAATATATATTTTCTAGATCTTTACAATTTTTTGTTGTAATAAATAAAGTGGATGACTTTGGTCAGAAAGGAACAAATATTCTCATACAGAGATCTAGGAATGTTCTAAGTATAAAAAGAGTTATTTTTGGAATGAAAAAACGTAAAAGTGGGTTAAGATATTCTTTCTGAGGATGCTAATGGACAAATCATTTTTAACATCTTAATTCTCTGATACATAGGAACTATTTATTATAATCAGTGGCCTTTTCTTTGGAATATTACTAAAACATAGTTTTACATCTGGCAAATGTAAGGCTACTTTTCTCTATATATATTTTGATTTAAATTAAGTGTTGCCTCAATAGCTCTGGGCATGATTCTTACGCATGTTATAAATTTTGCAATCTGTTAATGCATAGAACAAGATGAGCTATTGCTAACACTACTATTTCAACACCTAAGAGCTTCCTTCCAATTCTTTCTGAAATATCTCACCTTTTTTTTTTTTTTCCCCCTAACGTTAGAGGAGGTTAAGGAATTTACAAGTTGGTAGAACATGGTAATGGTAGTTTTGGAATACAATCCTTCCATTTAAACTTTAAAGTCAAGTCAATGCAGTGAAGCTAGTAATTTTATAATTATCATAGTTTTATTAGTGGGAGTTCATAATCCCATATCTGAAGAAAAATTTAGAAAATAATTTTGTAATTTTTAGCGTGTCCATCAGTAAGATGGTGATAAATTAGTATGATATTCTATGTTACAAGGTTTGAATTATGAATAAATATTTTTTAAAAGTCTAACTGTAATAGATAGGGATCATACAATGTTAAATCTGAGAAAGACTTTAGAGATTGTCCACTCAAGCCACCCATTACATTTATTAGAAAACTGAGACATAAATAGGGCTGTCAGATTTTGCAGGATGCCCAGTTAAATTTGAATTTCAGATAAACAATAGATAATTTTTGGCATAAGTATGTCCTATGCAATATTTAATTATACTAAATAATTATTTGTTGTCCATTTGAAATTCCAATTTAACTGGGTATCCTGTGTTTTATCCAGCAACCGTACCCACAGAAGTGTCATAATTCTTTTCTTTTTTTTCTTTTCTTTTGGCCATGCCACACAGCATTCAGGATCTTAGTTCCCTGACCAGGGATTAAACCTGTGCCCCGTGCAGTGGAGTCCTAACCACTGGACCACCAGGGAATTCTATAATTCTTTTCAAAGGGTATACAGTTAACTATACACTAATGAAGGATTAGAATCTGAACAATTAAGGGGTTTACAGAAAACTCTTACAAAGGATTAAGTTCTATAGTAGAATGTTTTAGAAAAGCAAAATAACCTTATGTCATAACCATAATTTTATAGGAAACTGAAAACAATCGAATCATTTAAAATGGAAACCTTCTAATCTATTGACTCTATCAAGTTCTAAATTGCTTTATTCTCTTAGAATTTGAAAAGTGCTCACATTTAAAAATCAGAGTTTCTTTTTTTTAATTTTCCCTAAGACAAGAGTAGCTCAACTGGTCCTCACTGTTAACCAGAACTGAATACCACTTATTCCTCTAAGCATGCTTTCTGAATTTGTCTAGTCAATGATTAAAGTAATTTTTAAGTGTCATGAAAGTTATGAAAAACTAAGAATTAGAATAATTTAGTATCTTATAGCTCTTATAGATCTTAGTCTGATCTAAACTTGATGTTTTAGATTGTTATCCCTTATTTTATAATATATTTTTATCATCACAAGCTACCTTTATTCATTTTTGCGGGTAATTTATAACAAATCCAAGACTTAAATAGCACTGACATGCTGTATATTAACCAGCCTCAGCTACAGAGAGGTAGACAGGAGTGTCGCATGGGGGCTTCCTGGAAACTGAGGCAGGGCTCTTGAGTTGCCTTATGTAGTGAGGGCATGTGCCCCAAAGTTCTTACTTAGGCTTCTCCATTTCTCATTGAGTAAATTTATCCTTTTCATATAGATCTCTAATCATCTTACATAAGTTTTCAAAATTATCAACATAAAATTGATAATATCCTATTTGTTTAGTCTTGAAAAAAACTAGTTAAGTTGCATTTTTTTCATTCCAGATGTGTTTATTTGTCTTCCCTCTTTTATTCTTCTTAATCTTGACAGAGGTATGTCAGTTTTATAAGACTTCTAAAATAATCAACTTTTGGCTTTGTTGATCCCCATTGCATATTTACTTCCAATTTTTTTTTTCCAAAATTTTTAAATGTAATGCATGGCTCTGTGAAGTGGTTCCTGGGAAAAGGTCAAATTGGGGTTAGAAGTCAATTTATCAGGCATGTTATAGAGATGATACCTGCCCTGAGTGGGAAGTTGGACCAATGTTTTAGATACCCTCCAAATGTAAGAATCTTTGTTTTTGAGAGCTGTGTTATTTAGCAAGAGTAGTAGTTGTAGCTAACTCCAAATTATAATTCTTTTAAATAAAAGTATTCCTTAGAAATATGAAATAAGAAAACATGGTAAAAAAATAAAAGATTTTATAGAGAACAAACTAGTGGTTACTGGTGGGGAGAGGGGGAGGGGCAGGGGCAATATAGGAGTAGGGGAGTAAGAGGTAAAAACTATTATGTATAAAATAAGCTACAAGAATATATTGTAGAACATGGGGAATATAGCCAGTATTTTATAATAACTCTAAATGGAGTATAATCTTTAAAAATTGTGAATCACTATATTGTACACCTGTAATCACATAATATTGTACAGCAACTATACTTAAAAAAATAATAAAAATAACAGGTCCTAAAATTCTACAAAAGATTTTATTAAGAATGCACACTACAACACATGGTACCTTTTAGCAAGCCATAAAGAAAGAAAATCTCATGCTAATATTATAATAATAATACATTTGATATTTGTTATACTTATTTATAAGGTGGTAAAGAGCTCTATATATTTTAAAGATATAATTAATTCTTGCAACATGCTTATAAGGCAAAGAGAAGGCATAATTATTCTTGTTTTAAAGATGAAAAAATGCAGCTCAAGTTTATTGTAGGATTACCTTGCGGCCACAGAAATTAGTGGAAGAGTAGTGCTTGAGTCTCCACATTTCAGTAAAGAACACAGAACATTAATGTATCTTAATACCAGGGACTATTTTTAAATTACTTGTGGAATATAACATTCTTTTCAGTTATTTTAACATTAGATTAAGGTTATTGTAATTAATAATAATAATATTAGAATCATTGTAAAAATGATAAAACAGAGTAAAAAATGGATTGGAATGTCTTTCAAATTTCTTTTATAAAAGTAATCAGTCATGGGACTCCCCTGGTGGAGCAGTGGTTAAGAATCCGCCTACTGGGCTTCCCTGGTGGCGCAGTGGTTGAGAGTCCGCCTGCCGATGCAGGCGACATGGGTTCGTGGCCCAGTCTGGGATGATCCCACATGCCGCGGAGCGGCTGGGCCCGTGAGCTATGGCCGCTGAGCCTGCGCGTCCAGAGCCTGTGCTCCGCAATGGGAGAGACCACAAAGGTGAGAGGCCCGCGTAACGCAAAAAAAGAATTGAATCCGCCTGCCAATGCAGGGGACACAGGTACGCTCCCTGGTCCGGGAAGATCCCACATGCCAGCCCATGAGCCACAACTACTGAGCCTGTGCTCTAGAGCCTGCAAGCCACAACTACTGAGCCCTCGTACCACAACTACTGAAGCCCGTGTGCCCAAAGCCAGTGCTCTGCAACAAGAGAAGCCACCGCAATGAGAAGCATATGCACCGCAACAAAGAGTAGCCCCTGCTCGCTGCAGCTAGAGAAGGTCCGCGCACAGCAATGAAGACCCAACGCAGCCAAAAATAAATAAATACATAAATTTATTTTTTAAAAACAAGTAATCAGTCATACCAGGATGGCATTATCCAAAAGTACTATTTTATAATAAAAGTATAATATACAGATACAGTGTTTTAAACCTTAAAATAGATCTCAAAATCAACTAGATATTTTCAAATCCTTGAAGAAAGGATTCTTCTTTAGAAAAGAATTCATCAAAATGCTGTTCACTTTTGTCATATAGTCTACATAAGTAGATAGCACATTTAGATGAACAATATTTTTCTATAATTATTTTAACTCGTTTACTAAAGCTATCTTTATCGGGTAAAAGCTCCTAGGAGATGATATTAAGTATATAGTACTTCTGGGGGATTTGGTTGCTAAATGTGGATAGATTGAGAAGCTGTTAAAACAACAGCTGTATAGTGAATGGGAATATTTGCAGAGTCTGGTAATTATTTTTATGTTATTTATAATATATACTTATTTAGTATTATAAATTTTGTTTAATTTATACATTTCATGTTATTTATACCTTTAAGTATTATAGTAGTAGTATACATTTACTATTTAGCATTATACATTT